GGCAGTGATCAGCTGCAGGGACACTCCCCCTGCAGGGAACAGCCCCAGGTCAGTCAGCTGGTGGAAGATGGGGGAGGTGAACAAGGGTCTAGAATAAAGGTAAGGCCTGGGCCAAGTGTCCTTCCCTTATCTCAATGGCGGGAGGATCCCGGCGGGGAAGGGAAGCATAGACCAGGCCCGAGAGTTTACACTACATTCCAGAGATGCTCCAGACTAGCTATGCTGGCTAGCAACGTGAAAAAAACACCTTCCCCACCCTCGCCGACAGCTATGCCAGCAAAATCCACACTGGAGATGCAGCCAGTGCTTCTGCAGACTAGTAAATGCCCTTCCGGGAGGTGGTTTGGCTGTTTTAGCAGATCGTCTTCTCTTTGCGAACACTGCATCTCCACTAGGAGACTCTGCCAGCAGAGAAATAACAGCCAAGACTCTGTAGCGTAGACAAGCCTGTTCACTCCTCTTGAAGCATTTTCCACTCCAAGGACTTTTAAGAGGTATCTTCCCTGTATGGATTTGCCAACCCCAGCACAATCAGACCCCGAGTTGTTGCTACTCCAGCATTCAAGGCTTCTGGGCCATGTGAAGTTTCTGATGCGTGGTAAGGTTGGAGCTTTGATTGAAACGTTTCCCACAGTCAACGCATTTATAAGGCTTCTCTCCAGTGTGGGTCCTCCTGTGCCTAATAAGGGTGGAATTCTGATGGAAGCTTTTCCCACAGTCAAGGCATTTATAAGGTCTCTCCCCAGTGTGGATTCGCCGGTGTGAAATAAGGGTCGAGCTGTCACTGAAGCTTTTCCCGCAGTCCAAGCATTTATAGGGTTTCTCCCCCGTATGGAATATCTGGTGTTTAATCAGCTGTGAGCTCCAGTCAAAACTTTCCCCACAGTCTAAGCACTTATAAGGTCTTTCGCGCGTGTGGATTCTCTGATGCGAAATGAGGTTTGAGCGGCAAATGAAACTTTTCCCGCAGTCCGGGCACGTGTAGGGCCTCTCTCCCGTGTGCAGCCGTTGATGTGTGATGAGATCGGAGCTCTGATTGAAGTTTTCCCCGCAGTCGGGGCATTTGTAGGGCCGGTCTCCCGTGTGGAGTCTTTGGTGAGTGATAAGGTTGGAACTTTGATTGAAGCTTTTCCCGCACTCGACACACTTATAGGGTCTCTCCCCCGTGTGGATTCTCCGGTGAGAAATCAGGTTGGAGGTCTGACTGAAGCGCTTCCCACACTCCGTACATTTATAAGGCTTCTCGCCCGTGTGGGTCCGCCGATGAGAAATCAGGTTGGAACTCCGATTGAAGGTTTTCCCACACTCGGCGCATGTGTTTTTTTTCTCGTCTGTGCGGATTCTCTTCTGGGCAGAGGGCTCCTTGAGGCTTTTACGGCCTTCCTCACAATTCAGGGTCTTACCCGCTCTTTTCTTGGGTTGGCTTCCCAGCTGCTTCTTTGACTTGTGCTGCATCCTCCAGATTTTTTCCTGTTCGCAACTCTGGGAAACATTCCCCTTGCATCTTTCCGATAAGGTCCCTCGAGATGCCACTTGCGCGGGACCTTCCCTCGGTGGATTCTCCTCCTTTTTATCATTTGCCATCCCATCACCTGTGGGAAGAAAGAGAAAAAATTCAGACTTGATGCATTCCCCATGCTTAGAGGACAGGAAAGAACGAAGAAGAGCGAAGAGAGGAAACACAATGCAGTACGTGTTCGGGAAATTGAGAAAGATACAATTTTTCTGACCCATTGGTAACTGTTCCTGCTCTGAGGTGGGCACCAGGAAATCCGTGATCCCCTAGAACTAGGTTACCTCTCCACATCATCCAAGCACGGAGCGAGTGGTCTGGGGGGGAAGGTGGGTGTGAAAGAAGAGGGGAGAGAGCATTGTGGTAGAAAAGCAGCTGCTCT